CCCTTCTCTGCTAGAAACCTTGAAAGAATAGCTTATATTTAGTATTTCATGTCCTTACTTCCATTTACCCTTTCACTGCTGGGTCCAGTTTCCTGAACCCCCACCAGTGTGCTGAAGCTGGCCCTGCCGAGGACATAGAGGGCCCAGCAGCCTATCTGCAGTCTCAGCCTTTCTCTCTGCATCCATTCCATGTTGTTGACTACCCGTCTTTCTCCTCTCCTGGCTACCACAACCCTGCTCTTTCCTGCTTCTCTTGTCGCTTAGACTGCTCCCTGCCTGTCTCTCGCACCCTCGCCGTCTCCTCAGGCCATTTCTGACCATTGGCAGCATCCAGACTTCTGCTCTCAGTGCTTTCATGACCCTGTCTCTGTTTACTGTTTATGGTTTACTGTTTACTGTTACTTGATGCTTCTGACACTCAAGTTTTGATTGGTATGTGGGGAAGAGTGAGCAGGAGTGAGGTGACTCCATTTTGAGTATAGATAATTAAAAGAATGGTGGTTTGCATATAAGCAGCAGCAAAGTAAAGAGGAAGGGTTGCACCAGGTGGGCTCAAAAGATGTGTTTTAACCTTGGAATTTCTTAGCTTGAGACTGGGAAATCTGAGTAGAGATATCTGGCCAAAAATTGAATTTGTATATTATAGATGGAAACCTTTGGAGAAGAAGAGACCGCAAAGTGAGAAAAGAATTGGTCTGAGAATAGAACCTTGAGAAATGCCTACATTTAGGTGAAGAGCTAGTGAAAACAGAGTAGCTAGGGAAAGGAGGGAATGTGCAACGTCAAAGAAACCAAGAGGAAAAAATGCAAGAAAATCAAGTGTCAGATGTCCCAGAGGAAGTGAAAAATGAGCCCTAAAAAAAAAGCCCTTCTAATTGATGTTAGGCTGTTGGTGAATTTAAAGAGCAGCATAAGTAATATTTCTAAGGTGTTTACAGTTTAAATAATACAAGGAAAAGTTGTTGTTTTTAATGTATTCAATCCAAGGCTTAAATGCAAAGTATTTTGACTAGAATCAAATAAATACCAAGTGGTGTGGTAAGGGAGCCGACTTCTGGCTCTGAGTTCAGGGCCTCTTCAACATATAACACATTGCATGCACTCAAACTGGAGGTATTCTAGTCCACCAAAAGGATGGAATCATTTCTTCTAAAACCAAGATGCCAAGTAAGACAGAAGTCTTTGAATTGTTTTTCTAGAAGGGAAGATGAATATATACTCTAGGATCCCTAAATGAACACAGCCTGTGACCCTCAAATATGTCTAAGGAGGTCAAATCTATAAGTTTTGGTTCCTTGATTTTTGATAAATAGGCCAACCAGGCCAGTATCTTTCCTGCACCCTAACTGCAAAAATAATTTTGTCAAACAATATGATTTGTAAATATCTCATTTCTCTTTCAGGGGTTCAGTCCATCAGAATTTTGCTGACTTCACTTTTGTAACTGGCAAAATAGTTGGATACCTGTTCACATTAAAAGGAGATATAGATTCAAATGTAGCTATTGATCTTAGCAACAAAGCTTCATTAGCATTCTTGCAAAAGCATTTAGGTAAGAAACTAATATTCTTTCTTGACATACACCAGGTGATTCTCAGGACAAAACTGTAAAATGGGACAGCATTAGTCCCATTTTAACTGTCTCTAGTTGGTTTACAATTTAACATAGCAGTAAATCAGTTTGAAAACAAAACCTTGAGAAGTTTGATTTTGCTGCTTTGTGTACTGTATATCATAGACAGTGAGCCCACCTGTTGAAGCTAATAGTCTTTCTGTGAAGACTGGTGGACTTGCTTGCTGAGGATACTGACAGCCCAGCGCCTCAATCCCGTCTCTCCTGCAGGTACAGCAGCTGCTGAAGCAGCCACTTGGCAGCTCATGTAGAACGCCGTGCCTCTGTCACCATGATGCAGTTTGTGTAATTTGTGATGCTATGATGCCACCTAGAGGCACTGAACTGTGTAATGCTCTCTAAAGTTTAATGTGTTCATTAACATTTATATTTTACAGGACTTCAGAAAGATTTTGATCAGTGGGATCCTCTGATTGAAGGGGAAGATGATAATCTTATTCCAGGGACCAACATCGACACAACCAACCGACATATCGCTCTACAGAACTCTACAGGAAAAGAGAAATAGAATTTAGATGAAAAGAGCTTTTTTAAAAAGTCTCATTTAAAAACTGTCTGAGAGACTGTGTGTGTGTATGATTTTAATGTATTTTCTTAGATAACTCATATTTTAAAATGTAGGCTATACCAAAATAGTGATTGAAGCTTGGACTATGATTTTTTTTCCTTTAAATGTAAAGAAAGACTGCTGTATATAAAAATCATACCAGGCTAAATTTTAATTTTACTAAAATGATCCTTTTTTAGTGTCAAAATTAAAAACTGCTTTTACATTACATTACTTTAATGGACAAGTATATTGAAATAGGCACAATGCCAATGAAAACATGTTACAGTGACATAACACTCCCTAAAAATACAATAAAAACAGATTTTCTTGTGTCTTTTTTCTATTAGGAGCAGTAGAATTGAGTGTTAGCAACATGCTATTCTAGGTAGAGATTGGCAGCACTTCCCTTTGACTTGTGGTCATGGTAAGAAAAATTAGATCAAGCAGATAATAAAGCCATTCCTTTCCCACAGGATTAGTGATACTATACAATTTCGATATGATGACTACAGGGGAAGTGGACGAGGGTAACAATATTGGAGGCAAGGCAAAGGCAGCAGATTAAAGCGGATTAAAGAAAATTGGTAATTTGTTTGCATTGACTTTAATGGTTGATCTCTGATGCATTCTGCTTACTGAAGAAAAGCCAGGGATTCTAGCTATCACACAGTAAATTAGTTATTCACCCAAAGGCTGTGAAGGATAAGAAAGGAAACATTCAGAAATAATTTTAACTGCTTCATTTTCCATTCATTTTATTTAATGAACGTTAATTCTATACGTAGTAGTGAAGTAGAATAGCACGAAAAATGTAGGTAAAAAGATAGCTTAAAAATGTATGCACTTATACATCTGGGTGTCATAGAAAATGTTTTTTGTTTCCTAAGGGGTATAAAAATTTATGCCACTCATTAGTGTGGGAGATCAAAATTGGCCACCCCAAAATGTGTCTCTTTGCCTTGATAGAATGAAAGACTGAAAGAAACTTTGACCTTCCCCCTAAAAGAATTTAAGATAAAAGCCCTTTCAACGGGACAGGCCATCACCATAGATAACTCTGGGTATAGGTAGACTGTCAGGGTCCTTGCTAAGCCCATTCTTATCATAGTTCTGTGCACCAAACATTTGATTTTCATTTCCATGTGAATTGCCTTCTTCCCCTTTGATGTCCCAAACCACAACCCCCAACACCCTCCTTTGTCTTTAGCTGAAGATGCTATTTAAGACGACAACCTTGGCCATTCTGGCTGAGTTACTCAGCCTTCCTGGGTTTCTCCCATGTATGCATGTTATAAAGCTTTGTTTGATTTTCTCCTGCTATTCTGTCGCATGTCAATTTAATTTTTAGGCCAGCCAGAAGGACCTAGAATGGGTAGAGGAATTCTCTTCTTCTCCTACATTAGTTAAGTATACTTTGGTTTAAGTATGGTCTTGTTCCTATGAATTCTCCATAATTAAGTTTAATTAAGCCTGTGTGAACAGGGATAATCAGTACTTAGTAAGCAAGCATGGTTAACTATAACTATTCCTACTTATCCCTTTTGCTCAGTTAATAAGCAACTGTGTATTCTGATTTGACACTTCAGGCCTGTCTTAATGTTTTAAGGTACAAAATCACTCATTTTGAGAAATTTGATTCTCCTATCCTGTAGCCATTCAGATTAAAAATTTTAAAATAGAGAGGTTAAACTCCTTAGCATGAAACTGAAGACTTTCTATAATCTGCCCCTAATGCATCTTCTCTGACCATTTCTCTCAGTAACTCACAACTATATCTCCTAGATGAATGAACCAAATTTGTCTATTCATTATCCCAGGAACAAGCAATATACTCATCTACCTCAACTATGTTTAATGCAAAACCTTCTCCTTTCCACTTATTGAAATTATACCCAGGTTTTAAGGTTCTTAATTCTCACTATTCCCATCAGGCTTCTGGGTCTGATAATGTTTCATATTCATCCATCTTTTCCCCACTCTTACGTAGCAAAGCTCCTTACACATTTTAGAAATGGATAACCATTCCAGTTGTTTTGATGTCCCATTCAACAGCACCTCTTTAAAATCCTTTGTTGGTGGCACATGCTGATGCTGAAAGAAGAAAATAAATGCTAGAAGGATCCGACGAGTTAAGATTTATTAAAAAACGTAGTGTACTGCATACTGAATATCTTTCAGGGAAAAGAAGGAAGTGTTTATCGAATGCCTACTCCTTTTCAGGCACTTTACATAAACTATTTCTAATTTTAAAAACACTGCAGGAAAAGTTTTATTATCCTCATTTTACAGATGAGGAAGATCAAGGCTCAAAGGTATAATATAACCTACCCACGTGACATGTCTAGTAAGCAGCATATAGCTAAGACCGTTTCCTAAAGCTAGGATCTGTATTCTGCATACTACTTACTGCCTGTACAAGACCTTGTTTTAAAAGCATAGGCTCTGAAGTTAGATGGGTCTGGGTTTGATCAAGCCTCTGGGACTCACTAGCTCTTTGACCATAGGAAGTTATTTAACTTCTCTAAAAAGCTTCAATTTTCTCACCTATAAAAACATGGATAATATTCATATGCACCTCAGAGTCGAGGATTAAATGAGAAAATGCATTTAAAGTACCAGCCGAGTGACTAACACGTAAGAGCAACATTTTATATTATGGTTTCCCCCAATTATAGAATTGTGCTTCCATTACTACAGAATTCCAGAACCACAGATATTCCAGATTGCTATTTCCTTTTTAATGAAATGAGACCAACACACCTTTAAGGATAAATTTTATTCAAATCTTATGAGAATACTTCCAAATTCAAACAAAATATTAGTTAAATGTTTAACTATACAGACAAGGCAAAGCTTCAGAAACAAGAAAAATTCTGAAAGAGTTACTGCTAACAAAGCCATCCTCCTAAGTAGCATCATATAATGTACTTGTCATAAACCTATAATTTCCTATTTTAATTTAAACACTACATTCAAAAGAAACCAAAATAGTTTTTTGAAATGTGAGTAATGTGTTAGAAAATGTTTAGCAAAATAAATCCTCCCAATTGATTGGAAACAACACATTCTAAGGGAGAAGATCCCAGATCTGTATATACAGGAATACCATTATAAATACACCACACAGTCAACCAGCCGTCTATTTTGTTTTCAACACGTATCCGTTTTTGACAATGACAACTTCTTGTGATTACACGCTCTCAATTTGCTCAAATGTTCTGTTGGTCTGGGTAGGATGCCACTTGTTTAAGAGCAGCTTCTGAGTGGCCATATCTATGGATCCACAGTTAAATCAGGATCACCTCCAGACCCCTTTTCTGAAACAAGAAGAGAAAAACCTCAAGTTGAGAAAGAAACATAAAAACAAGAAAATTATTTACATGAGTGCTACCACAACAAATTTAATGTCTTCTCAAAATGGGGAGAGGGCACAGATGAGTATTCTAATTACTATGGAGAATTACTCCTACGGAAATGTTTTTTTTCTTTTTAGTGTTTTGGTTCTTGCACTCTACCTATTATCAAACAAAGCTTCTCTAAAAGATTATGAAATTGCGATATTTTATATTTTGCTAGAATGATGTTAACAAGGCTGATAACCAATTAGTCCTTTGTTCTCTTTGATTAGTATGTATTTTTCACGTAACACTAAAGCCACCAAGAGCTGATTTCATTCTCGATGTGCCTCAATTCTAAGAACCAGTGTGCTACTTATGAACAAGATCATGCAACAACCAGGAACTTCCAACAATTGAATCTTATCATGCAGATAAACTAAAAATCTGAAAGAAATTCCAAGAAATCATTTAACATACAAAGATCATTTGAACATATGAGCTAAGTAACCCTGAGAAAATCCTTTAAAATACGAATTTATCAGATTCACAATTTAACTTTTAAGATCAATTCAAACAATAAACAAATTCCCTATGATATTTCAAGAAGTTCACTTCTTGGTTATTTCCCCATAAGCCCAGTTAACATTTTTAGCTAAAGTTTTTAATTTTTTTTCCTACTACTAACATCCAAGGAAATTGATAAACCATTTTTGTTCAAGGATTCATGGTAATGGTATCTTTAAGACTTGGCAATCTGGTAATAAAAGTATTTTATTTTAAAAACACAAGTTACCTTTAATTGCGGTATCATCCGATGACACGAAGTAAAGATCTTCTTTTCTCACTGTTTGGAATATAGCCTAAGAAAAGGAACCCTCGGGTTACTACCAATTCTTTATTATAAGCACAAAATGATTAAAATCAGAAAGAGGACAATAGATAAACCAGAAAAATGGTAAACAACAAAAAGTAATCCTTTTAAAAGTATGACAATCTGATTTTATAGTGGAGAATCACCTCAAGTATATTTTCTATTCTTTAAATACTCATTTCTCTGGAACATCTCCACTGGAGCATTCTACACGGGGAATAAAGTAACTTTTTCTAATTTTTAACCTCCAAACCCCCAAAACTCTGGTGTTTGGTGCATTGTTCAAGGAGCTGCTATTCAACCAATATCCATAGTGAGCCACAGATGCTTTATTAAAGACCTCGTGAAGAGGGATAGTTCTCCTATATTTCTTACAACAACTAATAGCATCATGTGCATGTGTGATGTCTGTACAGAAATTAATTCATGAGACATATTCTTATGATGAAATGAAATAGCTCAGATGAAAAAAAAATTCTAAAAATGTGTAATCAGAAAGACTCCCAGATCATAGTGACTTGATATATCACAAAAAAATAGTCATGCATAATTTAATACCCACAATATTCACTTCAAAGAAAACCAGCTCATTCATAGACAGGCATCCGTATCTAAGAGTGTCTTCATATTTGAGGAAAGGGTCATTTAAATCTCATTAATAACCAAAGAAAAACCTGTAAAGCCTTACTTTTAAGTAGTTCTTATGTTTGCTAATTGACTTAAAGCCAGAGGTAGTTGTGTCTATATTATTTTATGAACACTTTAAATCATCTTAAATGGTTCTCTTCTATTTGGCAGGTATAAGACAGTTTATCCAAATAAAATCCCATACATATATATCTATTTATTTGGCTGTGGATGCTTGAAAATTAATGAATGGAAAAATCAGACTACAAAAGACAGTTTTAGTAAATACTGATGTAACATAAGTGAAGCAGGCTGTTATTTTTGACAAGTAAACAAAAAATGGCATTAACATGAGAAGGTGAAGAGAGATGGTCAATGATTTTTCATAGTAGAGAATTTCAAATGACCTAAATGTCCAACACTAGGAGAAACGGTTTAATAAGTTTTTGACCATTAATGCCATGTAATATTATGTAGTTATGGCCTTCTGGTTGCAGCCAAGATGGAGTAAGCCAACTATAGCCTCTTTCTTACACTGATTACAACTAAAAATTCTGGAAAGCATACAAAAAGCAACCACTTCCTGACTCTGAAAAGTAAACAAGATGAGGCAGATAGAAGCCTGAAGTAAAAACTTGAATAATGACTCATAACTGGTGAGTTTCACAGGTTTTGTTTTTTTCTTTTTTTTTCTTCTTTGTCTCCTAGTTGTCAAAACTGAGGTTGGACCAAATCAGAGCTGCTCAGCTGGGGTGGACAGCAAAGCTCAGAGAAATCCCCTATTTCTAGTCAGATTGGGAAAAGCAGCCCCTGAATGCTAGAGAGCGAGGAGTGAGTGGGAAATCCCTTCGTTGTTTTTCTTTTTTTCCTCCTGGCCCTGTCCTGAGAGCAGGCCCAGTCATGCCTGGGGACAGCAGTTACAGTGCAGGAACCTAAAAAATCTGAGAGAAGACTGGCCACTGGAACTGAGAAAAGGGCCCACTATTATCTGAAGAGTAGTGGGGGCGGTGGTGGTATTTTTTTCTCTCTTTTCTCTAATCTGCTTCACCCCAAAGGCAGGCTCAGTCAAGCAGAACTGCCTGACGGTGCCGAGGGAAACGTTGTTAGAAACATGCTTTCTGGCCAGAGGACCAGGAAAAGGGGCCTCTAGGGGCTGGATAAAAGAGGACCTTTAGAGCCAGAAAATGTGAAGGAAATCTCAGAGAGAAAAGGAATTGGAAAATTTGAACCCCTAATACTATACACGAATTGATATAAGTCCCAAGGTCACCCCTGAACTATGCACATGCAGAACAGAAGCAAGTAAGCATAGCAAAGTCTTAACACCTCAACTACCATATACGCCACTGGCTGAGTCCCAGACTAACCCCTGAGCGGCTTATGTCCTCGGCAGACCTGAACATCATAGCAAAGGTCTTTGAAAACTGAACTGACACTGGAACCACCGAACACAGAAGGAGAGACAGAACCTGTGGTGTGAACCTAACTGAGCTGATTATCTGCTAAAACAAAAACTTCAATATTTTCTAGAAGATTTTAACAGGATACAAAGTCTTACAACATAATATTCAAAACATTCAGGATATAATCCAAAATTATGCAACATACAAAGAACCAGGAAAAGCTAATCATTTCTCAAGACAATCAGTAGATACAAACTCTGAGATGACCAGATACTGGACCTAGCAGACACAGACTCTGAAGCAAGAAGTTCAACAAACTCCAGACGCTCAAATGCCCAGACATATCAGAATGGCATGGGAAATTGTCCACCATATAATTTTTTTTTCCTTTTTTTTTTTTTGTGAGGAAGATCAGCCCTGAGCTAACATTCATGCTAATCCTCCTCTTTTTTTGCTGAGGAAGACTGGCTCTGAGCTAACATCTATTGCCAATCTTCCTCCTCTTTTTTTCCCCAAAGCCCCAGTAGATAGTTGTATGTCATAGCTGCACATCCTTCTAGTCGCTATATGTGGGACGTGGCCTCAGCATGGCCGGAGAAGCGGTGCGTCGGTGCGCGCCAGGGATCCGAACCCGGGCCGCCAGTAGCAGAGTGCGCGCACTTAACCGCTAAGCCACGGGGCCGGCCCCCCACCATATAATTTTAAATGAAGAACACAATATAAAACTGTAGAATGAAATCAACTATGTTCCAAATATGTAGATGATATACTTATATTCCATATAAACAGAAAAATTATGAAAGAAAACCAAACTGATCAATCTGTTTGTCTTTGGATGAATGTATTACAGGTGATTGATACTTCCTCCTTTTTAACTTTGCCATTTTCCCAGATTTTCTGCATAAAATGTATTTTATGAAGGTCATGGACACCAAACAATTTTCATTTTTTAAATTCCGAAATGAAAATGAAAGAGTAAAACATTAATAACTAGTTTTCCCCAAGGGATACCTGACATAAAGTCCAGAAACATTGATTTTGTTATTGCTGCTTTTAATTGTTGTTATTATAATGTTAGTATTTTTTTCTCCATTATTCCTAAACACAAGGGCTTTGGAAATAGTTTAAGTCGTCCTTCAAAATGAAGGACAATGCTCCCACTAATTACTATTTGTGTAATTCCATACCTCAGATGGACTCTTATCCGATTTGGGTATGCCATTCCAGACATTCTCAGGGTTCACTAACTCCTCCATACCATTTGAAAGGTGCAACACCTACAAGAGAAAAAAAAATTTAATAAAAATTGGTAGTTTCCAGAAACTGTAACTGAATTATGTACCATAGCAATTCTTTCTAAAATGAAATACTTAAAAGGCAATGGAAATGATTTTATTAAACTTCAGTCTTATGTTTCAATTCAATGATACTTTGGTTCAAAAAACATACATTGAGTATCTATGCCTAAAGATCAAAGATGGATAAAATTTAGATCTCAAGAAGTTCAGAATTTGGTGGAGAAACAGACCTCTAAGCAGATAATTACAATACAATGTAGGAAGTACAGATTTTTGCAGCAAGAGGTATAGGAATATAATATAGGTATAAAGCTTTTTTAGGTGTGGGTGAAGAGATGGAGCGATTTAGAAAATAATGCCAGTGAATGCTTCCTGGTAGAGAAAATGGCTAAAGTAAATCTGTTAAAGGTAAGTGGAAATTAACCAGCTTGGGAAGGGAATAGAATACAGGCAAATAGAACTACACTATTAAATACATCCAAGAAGCCAAGCAGAATAGTATATATAAGAGAAATCAGGGGCCGGCCCCGTGGCTTAGCGGTTAGGTGCGTGCGCTCCGCTGCCGGCGGCCCGGGTTCGGATCCCGGGTGCGCACCGAGGCACCGCTCCTCCAGCCATGCTGAGGCCGCGTCCCACATACAGCAACTAGAAGGATGTGCAGCTATGACAGACAACTATGTACTGGGGCTTTGGGGGAAAAATAAATAAATAAAATCTTTAAAAAAAAAAAAGAGAAATCAGGCAGTTTGATGTCCATCTAATATGAAGTACAAAACATAAAGGAGTAAGACCTAAGGCTGGAGAGGTACATGGACGCTCAACTCTAGAGGACCTTGCCATGTTGATGAGCTTGACTTTTCTATTCTAGACCAGTGGTTCTCAAATTTTAACGGTATAAGAATGAACATTACTGGTCCTACCCCCAGAAATTCTGAATCAGCCAGCCAGGGCAAGGTCCAGGAATCTACAATTCAAGAAACACACCAGGTGATTCTGATATAGGTGGTTTTCAGATCACAGGAGAAACAGGATCAACTGGAAGTCCCCAAGAAGTTTTACACATAGGAATGACGTAGTCAGATTTGCATTTGACAAACTTCACACTGGCAGTGAGGAGAATCTATTGAAGGAAGACCAGAAGAAGTAAACCAAATAGAAGGTTATTAGAGTAATGTAGCTGTGAAATGAGGGTCTTAACCAAGGCAGTGGGATCAGGTATAAAAAGTTGTAACTAAGAGATAAGTGGGAAGTGTGGAACTTTGGTGACTGATAGGATTTCAGGGGTAAGGGAGATGAAAGAGCCTATGATGATTTCTTGCTAGGATGCTTATATATACTTTTAAGTGATTTTTGCACTGCATCTAATTATCAGGGGGAATGAGCAGGTAAACGTGTTCAATTGCATTTTCTAGTCTGATAAAGTTTGGTAAAATTTCCTTAACAGTCTGCAAGTACATTTTGAGATAAGTACTTCAACTTTACTTACCCTTGTGCCTTCTTCAGCTATTTCCAAAATCTCACATTTAGACCATGTGTTTCTTAGACTTGACCACACAACACATTTGGATCCAACAGTAAATCCTTTCAGAGTGTAGGTGTTCTCTGGTTGAGCTACCAAATTGAATAGAGTAAGATTCAATGCATACCTCTTAATTTCTTAATGTTAGATACACAAACAAAGCATTTTCTTAAACTGCATTTACTATTCCTATATAAACAGTATCATGGATGGTACATGTTCTAAGTCTGTCTTCTTTCCTCTATTTTATTTAAAATTCTTCCAGTGCCCCCTCTCCATGATGTGATGTGTTTTTTAAGGATGTTAATCTGATTTCTAACATCGAAAATTACTACTGAAAGCTAGATATTATTGCCACAGGTGGTGTGGTCTATGCTTACAACAGCCATTTCTATAGCAAAGCAGTATATTGCCAGTGAGCAGACCTTCTTATCACAGAGCTATTACTTATTATTAAAATGTGACAGCCAGAACTAAAAATCTAGGGTAATATTTAAATAAACTGTTGTATATCCAAAGGATGGCATACTATGGAATTAAAATATTTTGAAAGTTAGGGGATTAAAATGCAGAATTCAACGCTGTAGGAAAGTATGATCTATATTTAGTTTTTAAAACTACATGTAACCAGGCATACACAGAGATGGTGAAAGGCAACAGGAAAGTACACCACAGTGTTAACAGTGGTCATTTCTTGGTGGTAGGATTATGATGATTTTCATTCTCTTTAGTCTATCATTTTCTCTATTTTGTACAATGGCTCAAATTTAATCATATAAAAATTGACATTTAAAATGTCTAACAGGGCCGGCCCTGTGGCTTGGTGGTTAAGTGCACGCGCTGCGATGCTGGTGGCCCGGGTTCGGATCCCGGGTGCGCATCGAGGCACCACTTCTCCGTTCATCCTGAGGCCGAGTCCCACATACAGCAACTAGAAGGATGTGCAGCTACGACTTACAACTATCCACTGGGGCTTTGGGGGGAAAAAATAAAATAAATAAAATCTTTAAAATGTCTAACATTGATTATAAAAAAATACCCAAAAGTTAGCCATTTCCTGTAACTTTTAAATCTTATTAGAAAATAACAGTAAAAATAATCTATTAAAAAGTTAATGACAATAAATGTTCTCCAATATTTACTCATGGCTGTTAACTGTTTTGGTTAATACAGGCTCCCTAAACTAGTTTTTGTTTAAGGGTTTCTACATGAATGGCAGGGTATATGCATTGAAACAAAACAGTTAAATTTGAAAACTCTGCTAGAATGACCCCTACCGTAAATTCCTGCCTACAGTAGTGCTTGGCAAAGGAGCACTAGGTTTTTTAAAAATTTACCACAACACATGACCTCTTCATTTTAAAGATGATTATTTTTTTTACATTTTAAATGTGATTACTTTTTGGAGGCACAGATTTTAAGCATTCTATTGTAAAAACAAAGTTAATCACCATTTCACTCAGCAAGTAAAGTATTATCTTACATTGATTTCAAACAATTTCTCCATGTTTAAAATACCCTTTATAATCCAAATCTGATTCTCTTTTCAGGTTTTAATCTTTTCCACTCAAAATTAATTTAAAAAAGAATTCAAATAAGAATTATTCTCTTTTAAGACAAATAAGTATTTTTTGAAAGACATAAACTTAAAGTGAAAGAAAAAAATTCACCTACCTGGGACATGATCTGGTAAAGCATTACTGTGTTTCCCTCCATCTCTGGATTCTTCTCCAGGGCACAAAGAAGTCAATGATGAAACGGCATCTCTGCTTGTATATTCTGTAAATTCTTCTTTATATATGTTCATTTCAGTCTGCATCTTGGGATCACAATCCTTTCCATGTGGATGTGATGGTAGCCTATGCTGGTCCTCAAAACGTTCCACACAACTTGACTTGCCTGTGTCCTCAGCACATGTGGATTCTTGGGCTTTCTGACCAAGTCTTAAAGATGATGGGTTTATTTTGTCATCTAGACAGAGCTGGGCTGTAGGTAATTCTAGCGCTGGCTGTTTCTCGGCTTCACAGTCGAGGGGAAGCTGCGCTGTAAATGGCTGCGGGGTGGCTTCTGTGTCACAGCCTGGTGGGAGGGGCACAGTGGGAGGCACCAGGCCTCGCTCCTCTTTCTCTTCATCCCCGTCAAAAGAACGCTGTAGCTCAATGGATTCTAGTTCCAAGAATTCTTTTGATTCATCATCAGGAGAAAGTGGTACCTCAAGTGAATTCAGTTCTAGTATCTCCTTTGTTTCACTGGCATGTGGTAACAGTGGGCTAAACCCTGTAACCAGGTATTTATCATCAAATTTTGCTTTGTCAACAAAACAGCACTCTACTTTACCTTTCAGTACCTCAGTGCCAATTTTATCTTTGCATGGGTTTTCAAAAGCTTCAAAAATGTCATCAGTTTCAGGGGCATAGAATTTACTTGGTTTGGTTTCAATAATGTTTAAGTCTTTTTCAATTCTTTCCGAGAGCTCATCTGCCTGTGATTCCACATACAGTGTTTTCTCTTGTCCAGCTTTACTCCTTGGTTTCTTAAGACTTACATCAAGACTGGGGGACCCAAGAGCTCCCTTTATCTCTGGCCCAGTTTTTTCATAAGGCAGATCACTGTTACTATTACCAATCTTAGAATATTTCTTCATTTTCTCATTAACACTTTCGCCTTTGCTTTTCAAGTCAACAACTGCTAAAGGGATATCACAAACATCCTTTTTGATTTCTAATATTGTTATCTCCAACACATCTGCTGTTACTATTTCATAAAAATAGTCATTTCCCTCTTGAGGGCACAAACCTTCTGAAACATCAAATCCTGAAAGGCAACACGGAAAGGCTTGCATGGGAACCACCAAAAGTTCAGAAGGAATGTTCCAGAGTGCTTTTGGGTCCACACGGTCTTCAATATTTCCAAAGTCCACAAGCCTGACGGATACAAGATAATCTTCACAAATATTGGTGATAACCGCCCTATAATAATGCCCATCTTCTCTGTATCTCACTATGCAAGGATCTCCAATATGGGGACATGGGATACAACTCCTGCAATCTGTTACCTTTTCTCCAGCAGTTTGCATTTCTACTTCTAAATACTGAAGTTTCTGAGTATCAGCAAACTGACACCAAAAATATTCAGGTCCATCTATTACAGTGGCATAAGCTCTTATCATCTTCATCTTTGGATTATACCAGTTAAGAAATACCGAAGTGTCTATGTCTGTTTTCTTGACAGACTTTGAACACTCATCTTTAGTAATTTGGGTAGCAAGTCCTATTTGTGATTTTTTACTGAAAGCATATTTGCTAATCATGTCTTCTGCTATGATCCCATGTTCATCAGCAAGAATAACTTCCCATCTGTCTCGAAATTTAACAAATTCACATCTTATTTGAGCCTCATCTGTCCTTTGGGAAAAGAAATGCATCATTTCTTTGCAGTTTAAAATCTCAGGAACCCAAGGTCCGCTTAAGGAGCAGTGAATGCATAATCCTGGTAATTGTGCATTAATAAGGTCAAGCTTACCTATCTTGTTAGTATGAACCACAGAAACATTGCCATAATCAATAAACTGTACAGAAAGAAGGTCATTGGGTTGTTGTTCCTTGACCACAGCACGATACCATAAATTGTCTTCTGGGAAAATGGCACATATTACATCTCCTCCTTGCAAAGGTGGACCTGCATAATATTCAGGCCTTGTTCTAAAATTGTTTAATCTCTCTGAAAGACAATTAATTTCAGCTTCATCTTCTGTTAGTTGAACATAAAAGTCTGAAAGGTCATTTATATGAGAAATATAGACAGCTGTTTTAAAGCCAGACATTATCATCTTCCGAGGGAACTCAGAAAATTTTAGAGGCAAATCTTTGTTAGATGAATCGTCTATTTTTCTCTCTGCAAGAGTGACTTCTAGTTCTGTGGCTTTCAAAGGTGGCTCAGCAAAACTTTCTTCTTTCTGTTCTGTTGTTAATGGAGACACTGGATTATTTTTATTTCCCACAGAGCACTGACAGTGGGTGACTAAGTTTGTTTTTGTTGAACTTTGTAAAAGTTTGGGTTCCTTACATGCTGAGCTGATCTTAGGTTTGTATGATTCTCCCAAAATCTCCATACTGGATAATTTGTTCTCTACTGATTTACTTAAATACTCCGTAGGTGACAACTTCATATTTTCCTTTTTTACTTGAAGAGTTTCAGTTGTAGACAGAAGTGCTTTGCTTTCTTTTTTTGTTCTTGTCCTACCTTTGTAACCAAGTAGCCCTAACTTCTCATTAATATTAGCATTAATTTGAAAATTGTCATCATATAGTTCTACAATCAGTCTTCCATCTGGATCTTTTGCTACAACCAAAGCCTTCAGTGACTTATCTAAAATAGTCTCCTGAAACCATGTTGTAACTTCTTTTGGTATGTGATCAGGAATGTCAGACAATGAACATTTAACAGCTTGCATGGGGAAAAGTAAGACATCATATGCATGACTAGGTAATGGAAGCAGATCATCATTTGTTATCACATGAATGTTCCCAAAATCAACAAAGAAGACTTTATTTGGTTCTTTTTCTATTATTATCCCCCTATACCAGTTTCCATCAGTAAACTTGGCAAGACACAAGGTTCCAGGGATTAAGGGAGACGTTTTTAAATTCAGCAAATTTTTACTTAATTGTGTAATGTTACATGACAACTGTTCTAACATATTTGCATTTTTTCCCAGCTGGCAATAAAATGTCCCAGGGTCATCAACATGTGTTATATACACTGATTCTTCACTTCCAATTTTCATACCATGTGTAGAATAGTAGTAAGAACGTAGCTGAACAGAGGACTCCAGAGGCTTTACTGGTCTTGCAAGTTTCTTTCCTACCAAAAAATGGCATGCGCTCTGAAAGGGTGTTAGCAAATCCACAACAGTAAACAGTTCTTCATCATGTATTGAAGCCAAAGCAAATATTGTGCATTTTAATTCTAGATTGTTTTCACATGCATTATCTAAAAATTCACTAAAAGCTTGTATTGCCTTTTCCTCCCAAACAAAAGGATTTTGACCAGTTGGTTGAATTAAATTATAAAGACTGCACCTAAAAGCCTGAGCCTTAACCTTGAGAAACTCTTCACTAATTGCATAAATATTCTTCACAGATACCATACATCTATCTCCATAATCTACAAATATGACTTTGACATGCTCTGAAGATTGTGCTCCGCTAATTAGAGCTCTGGACCATTGTCCATCTACTGTTCGTTTTGCCAAACAAGTGGGGGTGGTTCCCTGGTAAGGAGTAGCTGTATTCTTGCAATAGTCTTGAATATCACACATCAGAGTTTTAAATCCTTTTATGTTCCTGGTCAGCTGGCACCAGAAATAGCTAGGATTTTCAACATAGGACACTTTGACTTCTACTGTACTTCCAACCTGTAGCTCTCCTTTACAAGAGGAGCCTGGCTTAATCTCCCAGAAATTCTGTATAAGAGGAGCATAAACAGATACTCTTCCCTCTTTTTCCCGCACAACTAGTCCCGTTGAAACATTTGCAACAACTGTTCTGTCACTCAAAGCTTCTGAAACAGATGTAGTTTTATTATCTCTCTTGGCTTTCTGTTCTACTTCTACCCCCTTGGCAGAAGATATTTTGTTATTCTCGGAAGTAAAATGGTTTGAAACATGCCCTGGAGAGTAGGCATTTAAGGGAATATTTTCCTTTGTTTCAAATTCCTGATATTTGGCATATCCAGCTTGAGCAATTACTTTACTAATGTTTTCTTCCCCTGTTCTCGATTCATCAAGAATCTCAATAACATATTGCTTATCTTGCTTACCAAGGACATGGATAACTAACTCTTTGTGGAGCACAGTCTTTTCAAAAAAGGAAATCGCCTCCTGACTCCAACTTTTTCCCAAAGGCCAAATATCAGCCAGTGTGCACCTCAGAGCCAATATTGGTAGCTGCCTAAACTGAGGAAGCAGCTTCCTCACGTCATCCCAGTCCACATTTTCCGAATTGCCACGGTCAACTAAGAATACATCCACACTCTTATCATCTAACCTGGTGACTGTAGCCCGATAATAGCCATTTTCTTTCCATTTGACACAGCAAAGGTCATCAGGTTCAGGTTTCAAAACTACACCATCCAGCTTACTGGCCGAGGAATAGAAACTGCACATTTTCCTCATCAACTTGCTGAAGGTGCCATTGTGTTTCCTCAACCTAATCCAAAACTCAGAAGGATTTTTAATAAACTCCACCTGGGCATCATAGAAGGCATTCATCTTTAACCTGACAGATCTTAAGGCTGAGAGTGAAATCGCTTCATCCACTTCTTCAGCAGGAGATGGAGACTGAAGAGATGTTTCCAGTTCTTCCTCCTCCTCCTCCTCTATTCCCTGGCTCAGAAGAAATCGGTCAGCCAAACAACAGGACTGTGCTCCAAATACATGGTTAAGATTAATCCCATCTTCTCCATACAGGGTGACATAATACACACGCTCAAAGGAGCAGTAAAACTCAATCTTTGCATTCACTGCCTGGCCCAGTATCAGTGCCTTCAGGTCGCCGACCTGTGACCGAGACCAGCCTCTCCCACCGTCCCAGAGTCCATACAAAGCACAAGGATAGGTCACCACAGGCATTCGAAAATATTCAGGCAGCAGGTAGCGAAGGCTACTACAACTCACTAACTCCTTCCTTCCATAGTCTACATGAAGCACCTGGGCACAGCGCTGGGGCCGAAAAGTCTCAAGCAAGAGCGCCCTGTACCAATGTCCATCCAACCCATAGGATGCACACGGGGAGCCCGGCTTGTTTGGGCTCTCCTCCCCCTCCTCCCAGGCGGCACTGGTGGAGTTCTCATCCCCTGTTCCCCTGGAGGCTCGGTATATGTGGGCCATGCTCTCGGAGAGGCGGTGGATCTCCTGCGAGAGGCTCTGGAGCTGGCAGTGGATGCGGTGGGGGTGGCACACTTGGGTTACTACGACGGGCTCCGTCACGCCCACCTGCAGCTGGGGGTAGAAGTAATCCAGGCCCGGCTGTCCCAGCCTGGGCAGGCCCCGCGGGAGGGCCGGGACCCCGGGGCCCACGCCAGCAGTGGCCGCCTTGAGGTAGCGCTTGAGCAGCAGGTGGAAGAGGCTATCGGGCACCTGGCGGGCCAGGCCCAGCTCCTGCATCTGCTGGCACAGGCCGGGCGCGTCCAGGAGCACCAGGCGGTGGAGGCGCAGCACATCCAGGACCCGTCCGTGCACCTCCTTGCCCTGCAGCCGGCTGAGGAAGTCCACGGCGCCCGGCGGCCAGTGCTGGGGCTCGCCG